TTTATATAATTTCGATGAAAAATAAATATTAATAACCAGTCTTGTATATGGTTTTTTTTGTTTCTCTACAAACAATTTCCCTAATATTTTATGTGCACCTCTCAATCTCTTTAACTTTAAAACTAGTACATAAAAATACCTTTAAACAAATGTATTAGGCTATGGGAATAACAAAATTTGTGCTTTATTTCTTTTATTTTTTTTCTCTAAAGTACAAAGTTTAGATATCATTACAATCAAGATTGTCCCAAATTACAAGAGATTAGAGAGACTATAGATGGCTACGTTTTCTTCTTATCAAAGCAATAATATCTCAAAATTTTAATTATAATCTTTGTAAAAAGCCTCATTTATTGAAACAAGTTTTAAATTTGTTTTGCTTAATTTGTTTGTAATTTTTATTTTATATGGTTTGTATGTGACCTTTAGATAGAAATCTGTGGCCCGGCCCTCACTTTTGCTTTTCATTTAATTATAAAACGATTTAACGTACGTTTATTACTTTTTGGTTTGAATAATCATGGATCTTTAGGGCTTAAAGCCCGGATTAACGGTCAAATCATACTACCTTAGTGGTTGTCTTCCTTGCCTAATCTTCTCTTAATTTCATGGAATTTGTTTATTTTTCCATGCATGCATGCATTGCATCTTATCAACAACTCCTGAATTAAATGAAACTTATATAGTTAGATATATAATTATTGAGATAAAGGGTTGCATATATAAACTTGAGTTAAAACTATGATACACGTGCAATAGTCATTATATAATTAATTGTTAGTGTAAAATTATAATGTCAATTCATTATTTGGTTCTATATATAGTACGTACTCTAGCAACATGTTATACATGATCGTTTTTGCCAATTATTGATCTTTTTGTCAATTATTCTGTATCATAATACTAAAGTGTTTACAATTACAATACTGAATTTAAATATGGTATTACTTTAAAATGATTATCGTGGCTTGTTTATTGGTACGGTGTGGATCGGAGAGAATGACATGTACGGAAAAAATAATATAAACGGAATTTAATTTTAGGTTGAACGCCCTCATATAATTATAAACAACCAAGAAAACTATCATTTAGAATAATTTAAATAAATAGTTACATCATTACATGATTAATTCATCCATACATAATTTTAGGTTAGTGAAGTAGTGAATTAGCATGTTTTTTAATATGTTAAACTAGTTTTACGCACCGACGATGCCCCAAGTTATTGCATTATTTCATAAAGAAAATCTTTATTAGTATTTAATTTGTATTATTGAATGACAAGTATAATATGAAAATAGATTAGTGTCTACCACAATAGAGTTAAAGTCGTGGGTTCAAATTAAATCTTGTAAACACCATATTTATAACCATGGAGTGAAAATCATATTAAACGAGGAGAGCGCCACGTGGCATGTATAGATAATTAATTCCGATTTAATTAATTTTTAACTTTGCTCGGTTATATTCTTTCCGCTCCAAATTTAAGTTTCACACAAAGTACTCCCTTCGTTAATCATTTTCCTACTTTCTTTTTTAGTGTATTTTTCATTATGTTCCTGTTTTGTTTTACTCTCTTATATAGTTATAAAAATATATATGTATTTACAAAAAAAAAAAAAATTCTTTTTTAATACTCGTATTCTTTATTTCTTCACTTCTTCAAGAAAAGTTTAAGCTTTATATATGTATAATCATGTTAATTAGGTGATGTAATCTATACAAGGCTTTTCCCCTTTTTATATAAGCACTTTGGTTTACTTGTTGAGGTCTATGACCTTTTTGCTTTTGGTCATAAACTCCGGAATAAAGGTCATATCATTCATCCTTAATGGCACCTTAACTTCCCTCATTTTCAGGTTTTTAGCTCCCATACACCACTTTTAAGTTAACTAAATCACATTACACTAATTAAGACAATATGTTTATTAATTAGTGTTATTATTTAATTAATTAAGAATAATGATGCTTTTCTGAGGTCTAGAAAAGGATCTTCTGAAGGTTGAAGTTGAACTAAACCTTTTAGTAGTAGCTTTAATTATCTTTACCTAAAACACAACCTTTTATTTTTGTAACAATTTCATGCAATAAATTTAAACTACTATAAGGGGGTCAAAGTATGTGAGCTAATAATTTCTTACTTTTCTTTTTCTTATTATTTAGCTTTTAGCTTATTTTATTGATTTGTTATATTATAAATATGTGATTAACCAATATTAGCTAACCATGTCCAAAGTGAAATGGGTCAGGCTGAACCCACATGTTAAATTGGAATGCTGACCCTGATTGGGCCACTAAGAAAATGGCTCAAATATTATCTTTTCTTTTCTTTTATTTTTTCTGATTTTTCAAAAATTATTTTAATTATATTTGTTTGGATGATTGATTGGTTAAAAACTCAACGGTCCATAATAGAAAGAATGGAAGCATTGAAGCAATGATATCTTTCAACCTTATTATGCAAATATTAATTGGCAATTATTCAAATTATAATATAACAGTAACTTATATATAAATTGTTTTTATAAATAAAGAAAAAGTCAAATAAAATGTCTTATGACACTGACAAATTTAGAAATATTTGTTCTTGGTGAATAACTAAAAAATACTCCGTAGCAATTACAAATATGCAAAAAAAAACCAAACAATACACATGCACCAAAATGGCATTGCTTCTATGGCACCAGGACAAGTACGTTTTAAAATTCTATGGATAGGAAGGGAGCACTTTGCAACTTCATGATTATTTTACATGGCCAAGTTTAACTAATTACTCCGTATTCTACTTCGACAATAAGAAGGGTAAACTTAGTTACTCTGGAAAAAAAAATTATTACCAAGTGAAAAACTTTCACAAAAATTGATTAAATAGAGTAATGGCCTTGTTTGGTTGGCTAAAAATTTTGTGGGAAGTCAAAATTCCCATAAATTTCATTTTCACCCTCTTATTTGGTTGACACAAAAAAGTGAAAATGGGGACAATCATAATTCATGGGAATTTTGACTTCCCACAAAATATGGGAATTCACTTACCTTACCCCCTCTTGGTAAGTTGAAATTTCTATGGAAATTTACTTCCTCCATTTTTAACCAAACAAATTTGTTAAATTTCCATGATTTTGATGATGGAATTTATTTCCCAGAAATTGGAATTTCATGGGAATTTACACTTCCCTAATAGATCACAAGGGAATTAGAATTTCCCATGAATTGCAAATATATGGGAATTTAATTCCTATAATCAAATTCATGGGATTTTCCAAAAATTGTTTGGTTAACAATGAGAAAAGTTACTTCTGTTGTCAAAAAAAAAAAAAAAAAAAGAGAAAAGTTACTTCCTAAGGGAATTTCTACTCCCTCCGTCCCAAAAAGAACGACTCATTTCGCCAAAACTTTGTCCCAAAAAGAATGACCCATTTGCATTAAAACACCCACCAATTTGCTACAATATTTGTGCAAAATTAGCTTCCCCATATAAAAATTTGATTTTCTATATTATTTTATTACTTTCTCTCTCTATTTTTTTTACAAACCCCATGTAAATTTATTTTTCTAATATACTTTTACTTCTTTTTACTTAACTTCCTTAATACCCGCGTAATCAACCCAAATGGGTCATTCTTTTTGGGACGGAGGGAGTACTTACCTAGGAGCGGTAGGTAAGTGAATTCCTACATTTTGTGGGAACTCAAAATTCCTAGGAAGTTCCACTTCCCCATATCATCAAATTTTTGCCAACCAAACAACATACAAAATTTGCAATTTCTAGGAAGTTTCAATTCCCATGTTTTATTATGTCAACCAAACAAGTCCTAAATATATAGAGATAGAGGGAGTATACGCATTAATTAGTGCATTTAGCAACGAAAGGGAGATACGTAGCACGGTCCAGACTCCAGAGCTAATAGTGCCAAATGCCAATAGCTAAAATGCAAAACATGTGGAAGAGGCAAGTAGGCAACATCAACCAACTCTAGTCCCATTGTAACCTTGTTTAGTGAAGCAGACACTCACTCTTTTAATTATTTAGTGGTCCCATTAGAGATCGAGGGCTAAGCTTACTGTTTCACATGTAATGTACACAAGACGATTGTTATTTATTTATCAAATTTTAACTTAATCTTATTTCATATAGTCATACAAGATTATTTAGGGTAAAATGCTGTCCATGAATTTCAATCAACTAATAGTCGTGGTAGAGTAACGACTTTGGCTATCGGTGGTGAGGCAGTGATACGGATGCTAGAATGATAGTGGTGGTGGCTGCAGTGATGGTAGGTGCGAAAAATCATACAAGTACATTGTAAGTGAAAAGAAGCAAGACACATACTACTTAGCTTATCAATCGTTTCCCTTGCCACAAAAAGCTTTTTAGTCTAGCATGTTAAACCACAAGGTGAATTTGCATTGTTACTAATTTAAATAGAGTATGTAAACACTAAAACAGTGCATAAATCAAAAAAATTCTTAAAACAATACTTCATCATTCATAGTAATAAAAAAATAATAATATATCTCGTATGAAAGTATATTAAGCCAATATGCTTATTATTATGTGAGCATTATGTAGGAAGCGTAGCATAATAATTGTATAGTGTCTACTCCAATAAAGGAATAGACAACCAACATTTTAATTAACAATATGAATTATTGGCCCCTATTCAATTGAAATCAGCATTGAAATATTAGGCTTTTGTCAAGAAACAACTAGCAAGTCATTTTCTTTTCATTATTGATGATAATTGTTCAGGAAAGGACAACGGCTTTCTTATCAGAAAAGCATCTAGACAATGAACCATTTGTTCAATGTTCTAGTTCAAATTTTCGCAAGCTTGCAGGCTGCTGCTACATCAGCTTCGCTCTTTCCTTTAAGAATAACCATTTTTAATGTATATACACATTTTCTCTGTTTCAGAAGTCAAAAGCATGGAGCAAATTGCAAACTTGAAGTGGATGGTACATCTTAATCAATGCAGCATCATTTGCATTCTGAAACAAAATTTCCTGTACGATTTGCTATACTCATAGATTTTTAAACATTCACAAATGAGGGAACACTGCGCTACAGCTACACAATAACATTTTAGAATACATCCTTCAATTATCAAGCAGAATCAGGGAGTTTGATGTGGAAGAGAGAAAATAAATTCTACGATGGCATTAACACTTAGCAATCAGCTTGATATGAAGAATGTCACCTCCCAAATAATCTCGTAACTGATGAAGTAAGTGCAGAAGTGAGGAACTTCAACCCAGAAGAACCACCAGGAAAGTAAGAAATAGCATAGTATGTCAGTGCAAATACCTGCCAGAGTTCAAAAAAGATAACAAACTCCTATCAGAATTGGTTCTGGGGGATGCTCAAGAAACTTAGTGCCAGACATTATGAGAAGGTGAATATTATCAACATGATAAATAGAAATTGTAAGAAATTTACAGGGAAATCAAACAGCTAAATACCTGTAACACGGAGAAAAGAACAGATAGAATGTAGCTATGGAGCACCATGGAAACATAGATTGTACCAAACATACAGCCAAGAATTCCCAATGAAAATGGAAGTCTCTGCAAAAGAGAACAAAAAAGTATTGTCAGCAAAAACCAACAAAAATGCAGGGATTACATGATGCAGAAAACAAATGTCCCTATTGAAAAATGATAGAAAGTACCTCTTTCGTAGACATATGAGCTAGCTGATTAGATGGCCCCCTCAGTGCAAAAAACGACCCAACGATGAACCCACATCCAAGAGTGAAGCAGATAGCAAACTTTTGAGGCATCAATACCATGACCGGAAGGAACATAGTGAAAGCAATGAAGACAAAAAATACTCCAGTGGCTAGAAGTAAACCAAAGTACATTAGAGATTTTCCCGAGGGTACATTACTAGTGGCAGTCTGCAGGTTCCCTGGCAAGTCTCTCACCCCTTTAGAAACCCTGGTGAAACAAATACCAAAACAAGAGCAAAGAATTAGCACACCACACATCATCAAATATTTTTTTAGCTGAGAGTTTATGATTAGGAAGCTAGGGCAGCACATAATAAGCGTAAGTATTATCCTCAAAAACAGAAAGGAGCTAAAACAAAGTACTCCATATACATATCCAATCATGCTGGAGTCTGGACATCCAACAAAAGCAATGCAGAAAAAGGAGCTGATTCCACAGATCGCAAAAGGCTGAAATTACCATACATTACATAACAAATCAACCCCACTAGCCTTATAAGTTATAGCGCAAGACACTGTCCCAGTATGCTTTAGCCAAAGAACACACATTTCCAAAGCACATTTCCAAAGCACCTTCTATTACTTACTCCGAAACCAACAAATCTTACCTCCTGGAACCAACATATTTAACCTCCTATTACTCCCAAACTTCCCTTCTAACCTAAAGAGCCTACTCCTAAATCATCAAATTTTACCTCCTATTATTCTTAAACTCCCCTTCTAACCTAAAGGGCCTATTTCACAGAGCACCTACCACCTCAAGGGAAAAACTGAAAGAAGAGGCGGAGGCAGATTCTGCACCTCCATAGCACAGGATACAAACATTAGATAACAAGGTTATAGTAGATTACCCCACCTGAAAATTTTAAAAGTGTTAACTTTAAAATATTTAAAACTGATTTCCAGACAAAGGCCTTCAGCTTCATAGGAGCCTTTGCAATCCAAACAAATTTGGAGGCATGGAAACTGTAGTGTTCAATGCTTTAAAATATATAGTTTATTGACTCCGAAGTCCAAATACTCTCGCCACAATCTGTGCTGTATATTTGGTAGCAGGATTTACAGGAAAAGTAGCCTGAAGAATCAGCTAGCGTATTGTTTTACAAGAAAAAAAAAATAATGTTCACCCATGTAAATACTATGAAAGCCAGAGGTCTGGAACTCCGGATCCACTCATCCACGTGAAATCATCACCCATCAGATCAGAGTACTAGATGCTTAGCGATTGCTCACACCCAACCCTCAACACCCCCCCCCCAAAAAAAAAAAAAAAAAAAATCTCTCTCTCTCTCTCTCTCTCTCACACACACACACACACACACACACACACACACACACACACACTTGCCAGAACACTTCAATAGTCTTGGCCTCTTAGAGCAGCATTTCCAGAAACTCCAACCATACTTGGAAATCATAATCAACTAATCCTGGGACTCTTGACTTGGGGTGGGTATTTTTGGAAGCAAAAGGATTATTAAGCAACTAATCAATACTGGGAAAAGAGCAAAAGACACAGATAGGTTTAAGTGTATGACATAGAAGAAAGTGTGAATCTCACAATCATCATTGCTTGTCTTTGATAGGTGAAGAGAACACTAGATTAAACAGTTAACAAAAATAGTCTTGCTAAATAGGCAGGCTAGTGATAGATGGCCAAGCAAAGTTTTAGTGCCTAACAGTGGTGCAACAAAGTACTCCAAATTAATTTAAATTTACAAACTTTTTTTTCACAGAACCCAGAATTGTATCAAATTTAGGAGAGAAAGAAAGTAAAATGTGGAAGTGACAATTTAAAAATTCATTTGTGTGAGGAAAAGTGGTGGGTCCCATTTCCAAAAATAGTAAGTTATAAGTGTGTAAATTAAAAAGAAACATTCAAAAAAGGAAAGTGAGTAAATTAAAAGAAAACGGAGGGAGTTCTCATGCAATACAATTTAACAAGCTGCGTTGGCACCAAGTCCTCTCCAAACAAGATGCTTCATTCATAAGAGCTATGCACTGGGACTGGTCTTAGAAAATTTTGAGGCTTTGGCCAAGGGTGTTGTATAAAGACAATTTCAAAATTCGACGCACCATTTAATTCCATAAGACCATTCCCAATGCACTAGCCTCAATAAAAAGATTCCATTAAGTGCACATAGAAAACCAAATAACATCAACATGACAACAACCCACAGATGGGATTACACAATAACTTCATTTGGTGACCTTGTCCTAGCTACAGCCTAGCAGAAAGTACCATTCATGAGCTATTTGCTACTCACTCAATCTTAGCATCTGCAAGAACCATATTTCACGGAATGCGCTGAAATTAGATCATGTATTTATCCTTTACCTGCAGGAATTCAATTTGACAGCATATTCTAGTTCCAACAAAACCTCCCCATTAAAAAAAGAAAAATCATTCCATGTTGCCATGCCATCTTTTGCCATGGGTTCAAGTATGTCTTCCTTCTCTCACTGAACATATTTGATCAAAATTACAAGCTTGACAGTTCTCTGTAAGAACCCCTGATCACAATGCCCAAATCCCTCCTTAACAATGTCTGCTCTATCAACACTCCATCATACTCGAAGACATCTAATCTTCCTCATAGTTATACCAAAACCAATATCAAATATCTGCCCAGTTAATTTATCAGATCATTAATGATAAAAGAAGATATCTATCTTGCTACGGAAAGCAAAGGGAACACCTGTAATCAAGATTCAACAAGTGCTCATTGAGCAAGAGAAAAAATAGAAACATGACAGTAGCCTATTTAAGAGTGAAAAACTGACGTGCATATCCAAGGATCTCGTTTAAAATTTTAGTCTAAATTCTCAAACATACCACAAGGCTGTCAAATTTCCTGAACAACTACAAGATGGCATTAGACTAACATCCAATATGATTGCACTAATATAAAGAGCACATAAAGTCATCCATATGAAAGAAACATGAAAAGGTCACAAACAATTTAAAGTTACAATAATCTGAACACTTAGGTGGTTAGTTAACACGTGGCCTGCTTACGATAATTTGGCATTTCGTAATGTAAGTGAGAGTGGGTTTTTTTTACTTGTGCGTTTAATACAACCCAATTTTATATAAAAAAGTAAAAAGTCTCGTCCAAGAAATTATGAAGATAGAGATTGTTGACTGCAACTTCTGTGATGTCCATTGGGACCCATGTTTCAAGGTCCTTGGGGATCCGTGTTCCAAAGCCCATGAATCCGAATGTTGTTGCTGATGAGTAATTTGCTAAAATAGTTAACTTATGTGGAGTTAATAGCTTAAGCTAGTGTGATTGACAAGTAGTACATTAATCTTATTAGTATTAATCATGCAGATGCCCACCTTTGATTTTTAATTCGACATGCAATTGAGCAAGCAAGGTGCTAGAATGAGGAGCTTGGATGTTATATGAGTTACTTTAGCCCTAAACAGAATATTAATTTCTTAAAAATTGATTTGAAGACTCATAGTAACCGGCATCTTCTTGAGAAATTGAGTGATGAGGAGAATATGGATGATGGTGCTAGTGCTGCTAATGCTAATTATAAGGAGGTAATTGGAGAAACTGCTGCTAATGCTCATCAAGAGGAAGAAAAAGGAGGAAGAGGGAGGAATTAGGGGGAATAGAAGAGAAAAAAGGAAGAATGAGGAGCAAAAACAAAAATCCCAAGTTTTAGGCGCATGGAGATCAAACAGAGAGGGAAAAAAAATGAATTACATTAGTCGAGCAACAAAACGAAGAACTAAAGAAGAAGTAAGCTGGTAAAAAGAAGAGAGGTTGATAGACACCGGCGAGGTGATGATTTCATTTGGGTATTTATGGGGAATTTTATGTGTTTGCTCTTGCTAAATTGAAATATGATGTTGGTTGACTTGTGATAACAATTTGGGATTACAACTAACACTTCTAATTTAGTTAAAAGATAACTAGGTATATAACAACGAAAGAGTAGGAACAATTAGTGTATGTATCGAGCTCAAACATTTTTGTATAGCTCACCTAATAAGTTAGCTCAAACATTTATAAGTACTATCTCCAACCCATTTTTTTAAAGTACACTAAATATATTATGCTAACAAATTTCAAAGTGGACTAAACTCTTAACGCAAAAGGATTTCTTAATTTATGTTCATGAATAATTGCTACATATAAAGCTCATATAGATTCACTACAAAGATCAATAAGTGCTCATGGTATAATTGTCATCATGGTATGATAATTACACACACAGTATTCTAATTATATAAAGTAAAAATTAAGAGCAAACAATCTATAGTTAAAAGAGCTTAGTAAGATCAAAGCACATACATGAGTTCTCTGGAATTAAGCTTTAAATGAGATGAGCTCAAACCCTAACCGGATAGTACACTGTACACTAAGTTGATTTCTCAAACTCAAACTCAACCCCATGCTCCTCTAGCAGAAACTAGATTATGCGGAGTATCTAGATTAATAACAAGAACAAAACTTTCAACCATCCAACAACTCTTGATGATCCTAGTTCAGTCTAGAATTGAGCAAAATCAATGACAGAAGGTATAAAACAAATCAAAAGAACACCAATTTCTGTAGTAAACCCTGTATTAGACATCCAACCAATCATCATCAAAAACAGAAATTTTGCTTAAAAAATCATATTTCACCAAAATACCTAATTTAATTAAAGTGCATTTATGATCAAATCCCTAGATTTCCTAGTTAGTTACTTGAAACCCTAGAAATTGAAATGAATAAGATAATGAAGCAGTAGTAATGTCCAAGTAGTAGAAAAAGATGAAGAACTTACACATTGAAAGTGCCGGAAACGGTGTCGTTAGCGGATCTGACAGCGGATTCAATATCAAAACCTAAAGTAGAAGAGAAATCGGTGGAAGAATCTTGATCTTGAGTAGCAGCGTATGAATTCCAATCAGCTAACAACGACGATGAAGTCGATGGTTTGGCGGAAGTTGTCTGCGGCAATTCCTTGGTGCCTGTAAACCATGATTGAGCTGCTTTCATTCTTTCTCTGGTTTCTGAAGAATTGAATCCAGAAAAATGGGAAGAACAAAGGAAGAAGATGAGATCAAAGGGAAAGAAATCAAAGAAGATTTAGGTGGTGTTTTTGATTTGTGTAGTTTAGAGATACAGTGATGCACACAGCGGTTCTTCTTCCTGAGAACGAGTACGAGTGCGTGTGTAATTAAAGTGACCGGTTGGCGTGCTTGGGGCTTGGTTGTAGCCTAAATTGGTTGGGGCCGTTGGGCGTAGTCACTACTGATGATTAAAGTTGTGTATTAACAAGAGTAAAAAAATTAATATAGGGCAATATTAAAATAAAGAATAAAGTAAGATTAATGCTTGTAGTTAAAATTATGCGTGGGCAAATGTGACTAAATTAATGTTATTCACTTTGTTCATATTTTATCTTCTTACTTTTCATCTGATAAATTTAGACAAATTTAAGTAATTTTACATAGCAAAATTTGTTAATTATTATCTAAAAAAAAAAGGGCCTTTGTGAATTACTACCTCCAAAAAAAAAAAGTTGTTAATTACTACCCTAAAACACATTAATTCTACTAACTCTACTTTTTTCCTTAATCAACCTGTTTAAACTCTTAATGACATCATTATTCATCTAAATGATAATTAATAGCTCCTAAACCACAAAGTTTTATATGTGGGTGGCCACACCACGTGGCAGGGGTTATTTCGTTAGTATAATAGGGGTTAAAGGGTTACTTCGTCAATATTAAAGGGTAAATCAGTCAGTGTTATAGGGGTTACTAAGTCAGTATTACATGAGTTATTTTATTCTTTTATAAGTGGTGAATTGGTCACACACGAGACTGGTTCATTAATTAAATAAACTCTTGCACCACCTCTGCCAGCCCCCCTCTACCACCTTTGACAGCTCCCCCACCATGAAATCCACTCCCTCTTGACCATCCACCATGAAACTCACCCACTACGAAACCCGTCGTAATTACTACCCCTCCCTTTGCCCCGACTCTTAAAACCCATCCCATTCCCTCCCCTTTACCCAACCTCGATTATTTCCCCTCCGTTTTTTCTAGCCCCCCAAAAACAGTCTAGTCACGTGATGGGGCTATGTTTCGTTTTGGAGAAAGGGAGAGGATTATATACTCCCTCCGTTTTTAAATACTTGCTCTATTTTTCTTTTCTGACCGTTTTTAAATACTTGTTCCATTTCATTAGTCTGAAAGCTTTTAAAATATTTAATTCATTTCTCATACTTAGTAGACCCAATATAATACTCTCTCCCCTCTTATTCTTCCACTACTTTTGCTTTTTACAATTTTTTATTTTCTCAACCATCCCATTACCTCCATATTTTATTAATTTTTCTAATTTCCCCTAAAACTCATGTGCGGAGTATTAGGAGAAATTAAGCAAATATTTAAAACGGAGGGAATAAATAGGGTATAAAGATGAAATTATTTTTCGCGGGCATCCCAAACGGGCATTATTCATAGGTTGTTTTTCTTATAAAATATTGTTAAATTTTAATGATCCCATTTGCAGCCATTTCTCGTTGGATTAAGCTCTGGGATCATCTTCATCTCGCACCTCCTCATTTGGTATTTCTACTCAATTCTTTCTTTCTTTCTTTCTTGCCTTTTCTTCTTCATAATTCTTCATAATAACTTGTGTTTCGGGTGAAAACAATGGGACCTTGCCGAAGGTCCGCTGAAACGGAGAAGGCTGGATTCGGTCCAAGTTATGTTGGGCCGAAGGTTTCCTGCACAGTAAACACACGTAAACTAGCCTCGGGGGTGTTGCCGAGGAAGGCCCCTCCGATGCTAAAGTCAGTACAATGTGTAAGAAGAGGACACTATGCAAGAGAGTTTGTTGCTTGAGGCTTTGATGGAATATATCAGAATATATCAATGAACATATGAATGAATCCACATATGAATGAATATTGATGGCTTTTATACCTCATCATACATGGAGAGGTTGGGCCTTAGCCCAATTGGCTTGCTTTGTGGGCTGACCTTTGACTTTAGCACAATTGGAGAGTTGAACCTTGACCTTGGGCTTTTAATTGGATCATTTAATGCCTAGGCCCAATTGGACTAAATTGGACCCAAACAACTTGTCCCCCAGACCCGATCTGGAAGGATGACGGGTCGGGTTTGATTTAATTCAGAAAAGGAGGGAAGTAAATGATTTAATTAATCCAAAAATTTGAATTTAAACCGTAATTAATGAGATAAAAACGGTTAAGGCGGATGATTGTGGAAGTTGGACGGATAATGGGCAGTTTAATCACAAGATCATGTGTTTAACGGTTACTTAGTGGAGTATTTAAGAGAAATTAAAATGCAGACTCCTCGTATCCCATTCCTGGAGATATAAACAGAGGCGCGTCATCTCTCCTCACTTATTCACCAACACAAACCCAGAATTCTCGAGAGAGAAACCAAGAACCCGCATCAAAACTTCGCAGATTCCCCGAGCATTAAGCTTAGAAACTGAGACTTGCCACTACAAACTCGTAAATCGGCAACTTTCGCTTCAGATTAAGGTAAATTCCTTTGATTTCAGTTTATTTTTCTTCGAATTCGAACTCCTTCCCCTTTTCTTTCGACTTTTTTCTTCGAAATAATCAATGGCAAGAGGAGTTAGAGGTAGAGCCCGTGCTCCAAGAAGAGCAAGGCCGATTCCCGATCCTAGGAACAGGATTGGGACCTGGAATGGACAAAGGCCAGAGTCTGACCCTGCTGAAGGGATTAGGGCGACTCCCCTTTCCTCGGCTCCTCCTCAGAGAACGGAGGAGCCGAGCGCTTCTGGACGGGATGATGAAGTTCCCGCTGTCCTTTGGGATATCCTCCCCGGGTTTTCGGAATGGGAAAATGCCGAAGTTGCTTCGGCCATGATAAAGAACCGCCCCTACCCATGGTGGGTGGAGAATGCCGATCAATATCGATTTGCCGAGCAAATTGAGTTGCATTACGGCATTTTTGAAGCTGATGGGTATTGGTGCCGAATGCCCTCGGCATCCGATAGAATCCATCATCCACCCCCGGGGTATGTGGGGGTGTACACAAGACAGCTTCAGTACGGGCTGAGGTTCCCTTTGGACGTATTCGTCCGAGACTTGCTGATCCATTACAACATCTCTCTATGTCAGTTAACTCCCACCAGCATCCGAAGGGTGATGACATACTTATGGGTCTGCAAGTTCTTCAAGTATGTGCCGAACCTGCACTGCTTCAAAAAGCTCCATCGGCTAGTGCCAAATATTCAAAGTGGGCAGGGAAGCCATGGTTCTGGGTGGTACCGGATTGAGTCCCGACCCCAATACCTAACCATGTGGCCAAACGACTCTTCAGACAAGGACTGGAGAGGTCAATGGATTTGGGTTAGGGCACCCACAGATCCGGGCCACCCTTGCGTCTTCAGCGCTCCCCGGTACCTCGCTGAGCCTGATCCCAAAATGGGAAGTCTAGGTCCCCCCGCAGATAACGGGGCGGATCCGAACCTTGATCAGCAACATATCTTCGGCAAGCTGCCGAACCGGGGGGGCAGTGGCCGAATGCAGCATATCCCGGAGACTTGGCTCCCCGATACGCATTACGTTTTCCAAGAGAACATGCTAGCAGCTGTTGGCCTCAGCCGAAAGTTTAAGGATGGTAAGCTTCTTCGGCTGGGGTCGAGGCTTTTTAATTATCTCTTTTTCTTCTCTCGCTTCTCTTTTTTATGATGTGCCAACCTATCTGAACTAACCTTTCCCCTTTCCTTTTTCAGAGCGGGACGAGACCAACGTTGGCATTAACTACGCTCGTCTTGGTGTCAACCGAGAACGAGTTGTAACTGAATGGGCCCCGTCTATCACTGAGCCGAGGCATAGGGAAGTTCATCTAGACTCTTCCCACTTCCAAATTAAGGTTGTTGCTCTGTATCAGAGGCAAAAGCCTTGGTGGAAGAAGAGAGACCCCTGGTTTCAGCTGCTGGACGAAGAAGCTGAAGCTGCCCGTACAGCCGAAGAGGTTGCACGGGTTCTCGAAGCTTGCGAAGGAGGAGAAGGGTCCTCCAGAGCTGCTGAAGCAGAAGCTGCAGCTAGAGCAGCTGAAGAAGACGAGGCTTTGCTGAAGACCTCGGTGAGCTTTCAGACTTAACTTTGTCTTTCTTTTTTTTTTTTTTTTTACTCACATTCTTCCTCCCCCCTGTCTGTTACAGTCTGAAGAGAGTAACAGACATAGAGAAGGGAAAGCTCCTGTTCGTCCCGAAGACCAAATACAAGGAGAGTCTTCAGACTCAGATATGGACGAGCAGCCCCTTCAGAAAAGGCGCCGAAGGATGGCCATCATCGGCCCTCATGACTTTCAGCGGAGGCCGATGACCATCGGCGTTGCAATAAGGGAACCCGAGGAAGGCAATGGATCGCCGAGGGTTCCCCGGCCACCACCCCAATCACCTCAAAAGACCCCTCCGCCACCTCCTGAGATGGAGGTGGATCAGAGAACTCCCGAATCTAAGGGAGGGGTCCAAGAAGAAATTAAGGAGAGTGCTGCTGAGCACGAAAACAAGGATGCCGTGATGTCCAGTGCTGAGGGCTTCACGGCAGACATCGCAAGAGAGGTTGAGGCTTTCGTCCTCACCCCTGAAGAAGAGGAGGTCATAGTAATTGACTCCTCTGAGAAGGATGATGCTGAGCCATCCAAAGCTCCATCGTCATCCTTCCCTTCCTTCCAGACTCTGCAATCTGGAGAAATGGGTTTCTCGGCCCCCCGAATTCCAATCCCAGACCACATCTGGGACCTCATATGGGGTCTGAACCGAGAAGGAGCTGCAGCCAACTTCGGCGATTTTGCTGGCATGTCCGAAGTAGATAGGGCAAGGATCTAGTCGCTGAAGGCCACTGCTGGGATGGGCGAATCCAGCAGATCAGTTCCTGACCCAGCCAGGTCTAACCAACTGCTGATGATGCAGGTAATTTTCCTTGTCTTCATTTCCTCTGAAATTCAGCTCTATTTTTATTATTATAAATATATATTTTTTTTTTATTTTTTATTTTTTTTTTGTCTTCCTGTTTTCAGTTCGTGCACAATCAGACTCTCACTGTAGAGCTGATAGATACCCTACAAGATAGGGTAGACGCTGCTGTGCACGACAAGAAGGTAGCTGAAGAGGAATTAAAGCTTGCTAAGCTGAAGCAAGCAGCAGCTGAAGAGAAGCAGCAGAAGGGTGAGGAGTACGAGAAAAGAGCTGCTGAAGCCCTCAAAACCTTCTGCGACGCTATGGAGAAGGAAGTTTTTCCCCCACTGATGGAAGGGGAAAAATTCCTCCAGGAGCATATGGGAGTGGACGTCTCCAAATTCAAGGCTGCTGTTGAGAGCCGTATTCAGGAAGGAGCTGCTGCACAAGCTGAAGTGCAACAACGTCTAGAAGCTCTTGAAGCCAGCCGAATGGCTGCTGAAGAGCTGCTCCAGGCCAAAGATGTCCAACTCTCAGAGGCTGCTGCTGCTGCTGAAGCTCAGAGAGCTAAACTCCATGAGGCTGAGGATCAACTGATGACCAAAAAAGTTGAAGTGGCCCAGGCTCAGACAAAGGCTTCCCAAGTTCAGCAGGAGCTGAATGAGCTGAAAGGTTCCTCCTCCAAGCTCGCTGATGAGCTGAATAAATCCAAGGAAGACTTGGAGGAGACCCAGAAGAAGCTGGCTGATGCTGAGGCTCTACTCAAAGTCCGTGTCTATACCCAAGAGGAATATGAGATGGGTTTCAGAAACGGGTTCAGAGTATGCCGAAGAGTCTGCCTTCATGCTGAACCGAAGCTGGACTGGTCTAAATGTGCTGAATGGGTCCAGAATCCCGAAGACCCTCATATGAAGTATGCAACTCCAGTCGAAGCTGAAATTCTTAAGGCTGAGGAAGCCGAAGAGGAAGCTGAGAGAATGGAGTTGGAAGCTGAACAAAGGGAAAGGGAGGCTCGACAGAGTGCAAAGCCCGCTTCTTCTGCTGCTGGGGCTGAGGCCACCATGGGGCTCAACGCTGATCAGTCTGATCCTCAGGCTGAAGCATAGGAACTCGGGCAGTCGTCTTCAGAATCTTGCGGTTCATCATGCGCTTAACTTTAGACTTGCCGCTTTCTGAATTTTTTGCCTTGTTTTTTGCTTCAGCTTGCCTTGTCGTACAACAGTTTATTTTTTTGCTTATGTACGTATTTCGGCAGCTGTTATTTTCCGCTTGTGGGCGGCTGCCGATACAGTTTAATTGAACTTGTAGCTCAATTTCTGAGCATGAATTATTAATCTGATGCTCTTTTCTTCAGTTGCTTTGTTTTTGAATGCTTTACTGTTTCTGTTTCTTCAATTCTGCCGAACATACTTCAATTCTGCCGAACATACTTGCACTGAGAGTGGCTTCTTGCCCCCCCAGAAATTGAAGTATGACTTCAGCTGAATAAGCAATTTCTTCACTTCTTCAAAATGGGTATCCGAAACACAGGGCCAACTGAAGGCAATGCTTCTGGGATACAAGTCTTACTGAAGATTGACTTCATCTGAAAGTTGGATATCCAAAACACAGGGCCAACTGAAGGCAATGCTTCGGATATTAGCTTTCTGGGATACAA